TGAAATCAATAGTTTTATTATTAAGATTTGTATTTTAAAAATAATTTTAATATACTTTTCAGGTAGATTTCGTGATTGATATTTTGCAGAAATGTTTTTTGAATGTATCTTCTTTTATAAAATGCAAAAACATGAAAATTTTCAAAAATTCTGATTCTTGAACTTTTTGGGTGCTTGCGGGAAATCAGAAATTGCGAAGGGCTTTGCAAGAGCCGGTCACAAATATAGAATATTTACAAATATTGAGCAGTTTAACTTGATATATAATAAACCTAGGACTGCATCCTAAAATAAACATATCATTTACGCCAGAACCTTAAATGAATCTGAACCTCATCACATATTGATAGCAGCAGCTCTACAATGATCAATTTTCCTATAGATAAGGGGACAAACAATTCTGACAGGAGGCAAATCAGAGGCCATCTAGGGCATCCGGAGTCTCAGAGTAAAACCTTTGGAGGTGGCAACAGATGATTGATGTCCAGAAACACTCATTAAAAAATACTGAATGGTACCACATACATATTTTATGTATGGTATATACTTATGAACATTGAGCAGTTTAATTTGTTACAAATACAATAAACCTACGACTTTAAACAAAAACCTAAAATAAACTTATGACAGAACCTGAAATGAATCTGAACCCATCAACTCATCATTTTGGTAGCAGATACTGTGCACAATGTGTTCTATAGATAGGGGACAGACATTTTTCGACAGGAGTAAAATCTAGAAGCCATTTAGGGTATCTGGCCAGAGTTTAGAATAAAACCTTTTTTTTTAAGGAAAACAGATCTTATAACAATAAAAATAATATTTATTGTTTTTCTTTTTAGTTGATGGTTTTTGTTGTTCCTTTTTTCTTTATCTATCTTATTTGTTACTTTTATTCAACTTCTTTTGGAAATCTGCTGAAAATACATGGAGAACTAGTATTATGCACTAAATACAAGTGTACATCCATTACCATTTACTTGGCGAAGTAAAGTACAATCTTGCCAGGAGCAATGAATAGATTATTGTTTAGGATGGTAAAAATTATGTTTACTGCGTTTGCGAGCCGGGTCTTCATGTGAACAACCGCTCAAGAGTGGTTTTTGTCGTGAGTGACCCACGACAGGCCGGTCTCGATCGACTCTCGATGCAGCTCACTCTCGATCCATGTGAACAGCCGCTTGCAAGTGGGTTGCCAGTGAGCTGTGACCTCTTTTGTGTGAAAGCCAATCAGATACAAGATCTCTCCGGGGTCAAAGTAGTTACCTTGTTTGCTCAAATATTCGCAGTTAAGAACGCTATTTTCACAATCGTAGCAGTTTTGGCTGTTGTATGTTACTTTTAATTTAAATATCCCTAAATACCCTCCATGTCAACCTTAACTAGATCTGGCTCTTGGGCTTGTTGGACCGAGAAAGAAATTAGTGACTTAATAGAGATTTGGGCAGAACCCGAGATTAGAATGTTAGTGGAAGACAAGAAATCAAAGAAAAAGATAAAAATACATGAGAAAATCGCAGCTAGGCCTAGATTTTCGTTGTGTCAGGCCACTCGCCGACGATGACACAGCAAATCCAAAACAAGTTGCAGGACCTAAACTAAGAATACGGAAACAGTTTTACCTAGAGATGGAGGATCGTAGATGCCCCCTCCACCTTGGCCTAGGATCAGAAATCGCAGGCCTAGCATGTCTAAAAAAAATGTGACGTAAATTTATTTCCAGCTGCCTCGAAAGTGGCAGCAAACACAGTTTGGTCCTTTTTTTAATCTAACACAATCTGGCTCACGACCCAGTGCCGGACCCACTCGCGATCGATGGAGACATGTGAACTTGACTATAATTAGGGTACTATGCTAAAATCTGAATCACAATTAAAACTGGTTGAATCAGCAAATTAAGTCTAAAAACTTTGTTCAGCAACAGGGGTCCTTGTTTGTCCAACAGAGGACAATTTTCCCCCATGACCTCATGCTAATGTTGCCACTGTACCTCTATATCACTTACAGATAAGTATCAATATTATAACGTGTATTATCATATAAGCTATTATACCAACGTGAATGATGAGCATAGATAATAAATCAATAGCAATACAAAATTGTAGTGGTTTTCCATTGTTATACAAATTCTAGTAACACAGAATGAAGCACATATTTCTGCAATGGTCATTTGTTTATTAACTGTAGGCTGAACTTCTACCTCTTGCTATACTAGGATTTTAGCTTAGCACCAATGCTGAGCAGGTGGAATAACACATTTTTATAATAGTGAGCAAGGTTGAAATGTTCAGGGAAACATGGGAGGAACTGAATAAACTTGGTCTTGGGTATGGTTTACTAGAGTAATAATGAGCACAGTCCAATTGGTAAAAAGAGAGTACAGTAGGTTCTAATGGCAAGACACTAACCAAACACACATAAAATCAAACATGAAACTGCTTTTGACATTAACATGAAACACAAAATTATGGCCTACAAAATACACTTTGATAATAATAAAATAATTAATACAAACTCATCTAGTATAACATTATCAGAGTACTGTACATACATTAACTTTAATTAATTAAGGTATTACTACCACATAACATAATTAAAGTAATAACACGGGTCACCCTATTAACATCATATAACATGGCTCAAACTGTATATCAACATTAGGCCTTTTTCATATGCAGTATCATTATCAATAAAGAAAAAGACTAAAGGCCTATGTATGAAAGATATATTGTCAATACTATGCCTAGACTATAGTTATTTTAATTAACACAATTACTCTCGTTATGTGATAATTGTGTGAAATCCAGAATAAAGAAAATATTAGGCCGACTGTATAACTGTTATTATTATTATCATCATTATTATTATTATTATGTAATCATAGATATCAATCCAGGTTAGTACCGTATCCCACGTAATGTAATGGCGTTAACAAAATGCACCTATTGTAGTTCCTTGGTAAAATATTTTTATACTACAGTACAGACAGTGCTTTTAATTTTTTTTTAAACAGCCAATTTGTGTATGTTAGTAAATAAAGTTGAAGTACAATTTGCAGCATGTGTATAAAATCTGTAGGAAATACTGTAGTTAGTGCAGCCAAAGCACCTCCAGGTAAATGACAAGAGAGAACGAAATGTCAAAACGGACATAAATTCGACACTTGAAGTGTTCACACTGAAGTAGTATGGTTTACTAGAGGTTGTATCCATGCATGGTTAACTCTATATAATTACAATTATCCTAATTCTATTCATTTAATCTTATTTGCTTATTTTACTATTTATTCATGGTTGAATTTACATTGTAATAACTCAAGTAGATAATTAATATACAGGACCTGAAAGACAATATGAGACTCGGCTGTTGCTTCTTGCCCTGCCTCCCCCTGTTTTATAAATCCTGATTGTAACCCCCTTTCATGGATCATATAGTTGTGGGATAATCGTACAAGCTTTCTAAAATATCTTTTTGTACTGAGTTACGTTTCATCAATCTGTTTTTGTCCAGAAAATTTAAATTAAGTTTGTATTTATTTGGGCATCAAAGAAGAAAAATGCCCTCGTATTATACAATTATTATGATCGATGATGCAATGACCAACAGTGTGATTCTAATCACTAAGAGTTAAAGTAATAGCCTGTTCATCACAAAATTCAGGCCCATTATTTAGACATGTTTAACATGTGAAATTTACTTAAAAGTACTCTACTCTGAAAAACAATTTAACAATCATGAATAGTATGCAGAGAAAAAAAACAGTTTAGGGAAATTCCACATCCACCATAAAAGTCATTACAAAACTCACAAACAAAAGTCAGAAGGTTGATAGAAAGGCATCAAAATACAACAACCCATCCAACACTAGACTAAAAGTGCTCTTATAACCCTTTTGTTAGGTCTTCAAAAGAGAGGAAATGAAAGATTAGAGATGGTTTTTTACACTTGGTTACACGTTTTATGCCAGGTCTAAGTACTACTATCAACCTAATGATCTACCGTGGTCCATACACCGACTTATCCATTATTTGTCTAAACTATTGTGTAATATTTGATCTAAAAATATAGTTTTGTGGCATATTTATATATACAGAACGTCAAAACTATTATTCAATTGAAAAGTGGAATGTATTGAGTAATGGTCTTTAATAAAATGACACAGGTTTAAGCAATCATTTTTTCTGGTATACACTTTGTAATTCTATTCAAACAAATTAACAATTATAAAAAGGCCATGCTATCTAAATTACATTTAACCACTAAACCCTAACCTGAAAGACAGGTCTAATGAATATAGTACTTGAGTCTATAGAATGTCAGGTTGTAATTCCACCTAATTAGTAACCATCTTTACAAACAGTGACATAATTAACTTAACTGAAGGAATTTGTTCTCTGTAGGCCAACTGTTTTTGAATATGTGTGCTTTCTAATACTTAACAAAATAACATTGGCACTATTTAGTGTTGCAGTAGTCAGTAATAAGACATTAAAATGGTCACAAATCAAATGAAACAGCATTTCAAGTAGGACCTATTTATACTTTTTTTTTTTTACAATGATCAACATTCTCATACATTTCCATATCCACATTCCCCACCTCTGTCAAAAGAAGGTATACATAAATTATTATCGATTATACAGCAGTGATCAGTGCTGTTTCAATTTTGAAAAATAATGAGCCACAGTACTCGATGTTTGTACAGCATGAAAACTGGGGATTTTTTTTTTTCAAAATTTGGCAGAGTAATAAAAATGAAAATGTTCATATACAGGTCTTCCTCTAATCAAAGATCCCTCCAAACCGCTTCCAAGCAAAGATCACTTTCCTGTGTATCCAAATTAAGAAATGTCTTTTTATCTTTATTATTCTGAACTAAACTAGACTAAAACTGCTTAAGACCAAGGAACCCCAGTCACAAAAGTGGTCTTTAACTGGAAAATTGTAAACACCTGATCATGTCAAACTTAAGGAATTATATTATAATTACAACTTCTTACCTGCTGAATCACAGAAATCTTCTTTGCAGAATTTTTTGTAACCACTTTCAAATTTACATTGTCCTAAGCAGAGATCTCTGTCTGTAAATGTACTATCCACATCTGGGACAATCTAGAAAGTTGAAGAAATAGTAACACATGTTACAGTATGACCAACACCTTTGTAGACTTGTCAATTATTTTGACGATTGATGATAGAAAGGACTTTTTTTAAACTGGTGCTGTCTTCTGATCATACAGTACAGGTATTTAACATATAATTCCATTATTAAACCTATTTTGTTTTTAAGAAAAATAATTATGTTTATATGTACTTGAACATTATTTTTGTTACTAAGTAGGACGGAATTAGAAAGATCGTCACAAGATCAGGAATAGACATAAATGAAGCAGACAACCTATGCCAAGATCGTGCTGCTTGGAGAACGTTAGTCGGAAAGTTTCAACCGACAGACTAATGATAGTCTACTGGGCGTTCGGGTGAGAAGGTGACTAAGTAAAAGTAGATATACATATTATTATCAACATTTAGTGAGAGACATATTAATACACTATTTTATATTTGGTTTATTTACTTTCAACTATAAAAAAAATTGCCTGAGTTAATGCAAAGCATTAAGAACAGTATTATTTATCCTTTTGTTAATTGACAAAAATATTTCCTCATTCTTACTGTCAATTAAAAGCTAGTAATAATATTAACAAAAAAAACCATAATTGAACTTAGTTTATTAATATTAACTCATCACCGACAGTTAAGCTTTAAGCAAAATAACAATTAAAAAAACAGCTTATTTTACTGCATAAAAGATAAACAAAAATTAAATATTTGATTGAATATATTTTTAAAATTAAAACTTTATTTCTCGTGCTAAAATTAACTTTGGTAGACTTTTAACAAAAAAATAATCACACAATATCTCAAAATTGTCATAATTATACAATACAATAACACATTGCAATTATTTTTTAGTGTTTACATTTCAATATAGTTCACTCCTTCGTTATTTAATTAGGAGAATTTTATTTACAACCAATAGACACTTGAAAAGAATACAAAATATTGATTTTAAGAAATTAAAATTCTGTATTTTCAAATTATTTACTATGGACATTGATGTGTTATATGTGAGGTCTCGCCACGAAATGAGACGCATCGTTGGTGAAATCATATTTAGATATTCACCAAAATAGGTAAAAGGCAACATTTTTACAAAATTTTGATTTTAATGTTTTTTGAATAACTTGATACCTATATTTTATGATTGTGTACTTTCTAAGTGAATTTTCTTACTAAAACAATGTTCTTTTCGCATATTCTGTAATTCTAGTAATATTATTTGTACAGGTTAGTTTTTGAGGCCGATTTTCTCAAAACCTGGTTCTCATACACCTAAACTTCAAATGCTAACATCTCTGGATCTATTTATCCTAGGGAAGCCATTCAAAGACCAAATTAAAGCTAATGTGATCTACCAAAATGTAACTCATTTTTTGATTTTCTAACGATGAGACTCATTTTGTAGTGAGACCTCACATATTATCCAAAACTTAAGACACAATTATAGAGAATGAAGTGTACAGAAGAAAAAAGTACCAAAAACAAAAAACTATTTTAACTAAATTCATGTTTTAAGCTCATGTGAACAAAATGTTTGACATCAACACAACCAATAATCCCTTCATGTAAAAAGTAGGCACTGTTCCCCAAAAAACATTGAAAACTTGGATAGATATAATATGTGTAAATCATTTATCTGGATAATTTGAGTAATCCTCCTCCTTATTATGAAACATAATTTTCCTTTTGACAACAAAATACTAAACAGAGATGCAAAGAAATGACAGTTTGATATTAAGTGGGAGGGAACACTAATAATTAAACTGAAATTTGGAATGGGTAGGAGACTTTTTTTATATGAAACCACCAACAATAGGCCTAAAATCAATAAGCAATTGATGTCTTTAATAACTAGAATAATCAATATAGATTATTTCATTTTATATCTCTATTAAATTATTATACATTTTTCAACTTTATAAAATAGACTAAATGTGGTTTACCTAATACTCACATAATTACATCAGCTGCACCAACAGGTTTTTTTTATCGACATGTATTCGCCATCTTAAGTATCGCATGAGGAGCTTACATGGATTAGTCGCTAACAGCTATCTACATACCCACAACACAGTAATCATACCTTACTCTACGAGTAGATTACCAATAATGACGAGAACCGTGGATACACATAATACCTTGACTTACACATATAAGGGGCTTTATACATAAAAAGACAATAATATAGTTACTGCCTCACCTGTGGGACTACATAAGGTACTTGCTGGTCATAAAATCCATCGCTATGGTTTTCCATCATAAGCCAGGCTACATGAATGATAGTAAATACCAGTCCTACCTGAAATTAAATAGTACATTAAATCATCATTAAAAAATACACAGCACTTTGTAGTTATCATAATATGTCAATGTTTAAGTACAGTACAACATTATGAAGTCATGTTAAATGAAGAGCCCCTAATGATCAATAATCCTCGCACAAGATTGATGAACACATAAATCACATACAGTACAACATGATTCAACATACTTCCGACACATATTGAAATATATTATAAATTACTATGTATTTTTACTTGTATTTTCATACATTTTACAATATAATCAGTTTTAATTCTACTTAATTTAATATTAAATATGTGTATGAGTGTGTATTTTTAAGGCCATTCCATCAGCCTTCATCAGATTTTGTATGCTGGATGATTAATAAAATACATAAAAACATTATGATTTGTAGTCTGCAATTTTTTTAAGGCACTTCACTGGGCTCCTGTTGTAATTTCACAGCAGTAAGGATCACTATTTGATTAATATTTTAGCCACAAAGGTCAAACGATGATAAAAATAGGATTTTTGAATTTTGCAATCCTGTACAGACACAAAACAATAATAACTACCCAGCAAATACAAAACATTATTATAGCATTTGCAAACGTTGTGAATGTTGTAATTAGGTTATGTCAAAAAATAACATTTCCACAACATTGCTGGCAACATTTTAAACGTTATGTAGTCAAAGATTAGGTTATAAAATGCGCTTATAACATCTGCTGATAACTTAATTACAACGTTCCCAGCTAGCAATATTACGTTCTAAGAATGTTACAGTTAAGTGATAAAAATTTACACTTTGTAGAACCATATGTACGTACTTATAACCTAATTTCACAACCTCACAATGTTTGAACGTTCTTACAATGTGAACGTTATTTTGTGACATACCTAACCACAATGTTCGTGAACGTTATAAGAACGTTTTATGTTTGCTGGGTTATTATAATGTAAACTATTTACTGGGGAGACATTGGTCAGTACAAATACACTGGGTGATGAGGAAACAGTACAATATAATATCGTTAATATCAATACATGTTAAACACATGACCACTGTCTTAATATCATTTTGGAAGGGCAAGAAACACAAGGGTTGCCGCCTCTGCAGCCCTAGATTTCGAACAATTGGGACAACACTAATATAAAACCACGGTTTTGTGGCATATTTAAAATTTTTAATTTCATTTCTTAATATTTTCCAAGTCTAGTTTGCCTGTCAGTGAATAAAATATAATCACATATGTTCAGATGAATCTATAAAGCAGTCTTTAAAAATGGCATATAAAGAATTATTTATTCAGTAGATAGTAATATTCAACTTTATTTCCTATTTGTAAATTTTTTTTTTGGTACACACAATATAACTTAATACTGGATATTTCAGAGAAATGATTGATAAATAGGTGGGAACTTCAAATGTGAACACTGAGTACCTGTAAGTCTTTTTAATTAAAAATACTTTAAATCAACTCATATTTTCAAAATGAAGTGACAGAATTTCTAATTTTAATTTTTCTAAGTTTAATTTTTTTATGAATACATTATTATCCACATATTTTTTCAGACTTCATGGTAACATCCTGAATAAACGGGTTTTGAGAACACTTACCCACAAAATATAAAAAAAATAATCAGGAAAGCTTAGGTAAATGGATTAGTAGGCCTGGCAATTATGTTATAACCTATTTTCTATAAATAAACTAAAATACATTTCCAATCTGACCAACAGTTCTTAGTGTTAGAATGTGCTTTTTTGGAAAAGGCCACATTTGTGACACCGACAACAGATACCTTTAAGTTTACACTAGGGAAATACACTTCGTATTGAACGACTTGATTTTCACAGTGAATAAATCATTAATGTTTGAATTCAGTTCAACTTCAGTGACAAAGTAAAGACTGTTGTTACAGTCAATCTACATGAAATGCCATAACAAGCCAAATGGGACCTCCCGCAGTCCACTGGCTTCGGGAGCTCGAAACCCAGCAGAAAGCAACCTACGGTGTTCATCTACGCGCTTAAGTTCCTAACTTACCTTCTCAAAACCACTAGTTGGCAGTCCCACCTTCAACACCTAGGTTTCAAATATATTCACTGGGAAACTACCGGTCAAGTCCAGAACCAGCTATCTGGACATGGAAACCAATGGTATTCAGAAAAAACTGTAGGCTACCGTACCTCTACAGTGGTTACTTCTATCGCCTGCCTGTTCGTACGCTTAGTAAGCGTGTATCAAGTGTGGTTCCGACGCTGGTCGTCCATTCATGAAGGGCGACCTCTGATTGGATGGATCGACTGATAAACAGATCGATACTATTGGTCAATTTCCAACTTACCTATCAATCAAAGATTTATAGAAAATCTCAATCTAATTTTACGCGCCAATCATTTACAATCATTATTCAGTTCACCGTTGTTATTGGCGACGATGACGTAAGGATTTTGTATAAAAAATAAATTCTATACTCTATTAAAGATTAAATGTTGTTATAATATAGCTTATAATGATACACTGTATTCTGTAAAATCAACCCTCAAATATTTTAATTAAATAATTAAATTCCTCAGGATAAACCCAATTAT